ACTTATAAAAGATTATCCAAGGAGCTATTTTGGACAGGGATGAAAAAGGATATTCAGAAATTCGTAGAGGCCTGTTCGATTTGCCAGCAAAACAAATATTTAGCCCTATCACCAGCTGGGCTTTTACAACCCCTGCCTATACCAGAGGCAATATGGGAGGACATAACTATGGATTTTATAGAAGGACCGTTGAAGTCTCGAGGTTGGGATACCGTGTTGGTTGTGGTGGATAGGCTGAGTAAATATGCTCATTTTTTGACACTAAAGCATCCTTTTAATGCTAAGACGGTAGCCGAACTATTTATCTAAGGAATGGTTAGACTTCATGGATTCTCGCGCTCCATAGTGATAGACAGAGATAAGGTTTTTCTCAGCTCATTGTGGTCTGAACTTTTCCGGCTCCAGGGTACTAAACTGAAGCGAAGCACGGCCTATCACCCTCAAACTAATGGGCAAACGGAGGTGGTAAACCTTGTTTGGAGACCTACCTAAGATGCTTTGTTAACAGCCATCCCCGTTCATGGTCTGATTGGATTCCTTGGGCAGAGTTGTGGTATAACTCCTCGTTTCACACATCCACTAAAACTACTCTGTTCAAAGCCGTTTATGGGGGGGATCCTCCACCAATCATACGTTATGGAACACAACATACACCCTTGGCTGATCTTGACCAACAATTGCAACAACGTGATGAGATGATTGATGTCTTGAAGTCCCACCTAGAAAGGGCTCAGTCCAGAATGAAGAAGATGGCAGATTGTGGGAGGAGAGAAGTTCAGTTTCAAGAAGGCGATTTGGTCTACCTGAAACTACAACCATACAGGCAGAAGTCCTTAGCTAAACGTGTTAATGAAAAATTATCTTCCAGATTCTTTGGTCCTTATACTGTCATCCAGAAAGTAGGGGCAGTGCCTTACAAACTCCAACTACCAACAAAATCTAATATACATCCTGTGTTCCATGCGTCACAGTTGAGGAAGGCGGTGGGCTCTACTACTTCAATCCAGCCTCTTCCCGCACTTCTCAGCCCAGAATTAGAATGGAAAGCACAACCAGCAAGGGTGTTGGGAATTAGGCCAGCAAGTGAGCCAAGTAATGAAATGCCAGAAGTATTGATTCAGTGGCAGGACCTTCCCCCTTTTGAGGCATCATGGGAAACCTTTGAGCTCATCAACTCTCAGTTTCCGGAATTCCACCTTGGGGACAAGGTGCTTGCCTTGGCGGGGGGTATTGATAAGCCCCCCATACGGGTCACCTATCAACGACGTCACAAGAAGAGCATGGAAGGAAGTTAGAAGGAATATTTGTTGTTAGATTTGTTGAGTCATGTGGTTAAGAGTCTATAAATAGTAGAGACCAAGGCTAAAATAACCATTCAGAGAGTAGAATTCTGGGTCCATTGGAGAGGAGGCATTTCAAGCGTAATTCGAAAACTTGAACTTGAAAAGCAGACTAAATTGCCTGAATAAGCTATGCAGACATGAAACCAAATGTATACCTCTATTGTGGTTGACATCTTTTCACTAATCTTGTCATATTTCTGCTTCTTTGTGCTGGCTTTCAACCCCTGCCAGGGAAGGCTGAGACAAAAAGGGAAAAAATGAAACAAGAAGAAGCATCCATTAGAAAGAATTTTAAACCATAAAGAGCTAGTAATTGTGAGGCCCCAATTCTTGACAATAAGGGACACGAAAGGTGTGTTGGCGCAATCTAAGGATCAACAAACTAAGTCTTATTCGAATTAGAAGTAGGCTACATGAATTCTTCACCGGCGTTCCACTTGATCCAGTGCTACATCTACAAGAAGATTCATCGAATTCGGATTCTTTGCAATGACATCAATTCATGTCAACTTAGGTATACCTCTATCTCTACACTTTGATTTACTAGGACTATATCACTCTTATGAACTGCTACGTCAAAATCTGGAACAGAAATTGTTTCACAGTTGAATATTCTAAATGACCCTGATTCCTGCCTGAATGGTGATCATGATACCCAATTATTTCCATTTTCTTCCCCAAACAAACAAACCTATCAACTTGCCCAGTTCAAATACTAAGCTGGTATCTCCAGATAGACAACATAAAGAGTTCGAAAATAATGATTTTCTAGAAAAATAAAAAGATGAACATAATCCTGTAGAAAAATAATTGAGCAAAAGTCAACCATGCGAGAATGCTGCAAGAACTTTAAGAAATATCGGGAACGAACCTGTAGGGTATATGCTTATGAGTCTGGAGATCCCTATATTTTTTGGTAAGACCAAAGTCAATGGCGTAAACCTGCAATAATACTAAGCATTCACTAAAACGGCTACTCAACCCCATGCATGAAGAAATCATCCACGATCAATTAGTTAACAATCTAATGTTCGACGTCCCAAGTACATGAAAGATGAGTTTTACCTTTGAGTAATTGAAGAAAGAATACAGAAAGCAATAATTTAAAAACTAAAGAATAGTAGCAACGAAATAAATTTAGAAGATGATAATATCGCTCATTCAGAGACAAGTGACTGCAAAATGAAAGAGTGCATTCATCTCAACCCTAGCTAAGAATTGTACGTTGCCATTAGATTTTGAATGTTTTCTACCATGCAATGCTTATCATTCTCTCTACTCGATAACCACCTATAGCATGCTGATATAATCCAAGCGCGTGGGAGCAAGCTAACAAAGTCAACAAATTTAGCCTTCTTCCCTATATATTTAAGATCAGCTACTTGAATCCTTTAAATAAACTGGATTCTTAGTAGTTACTGTTTGACCATGCGGGAGATATGTTTAGGATTCAAATGTGCCAAAAAAACAAAAATAGAAGTGAGATTTGAAAATGTTTAGTAATTCTATATGTACAGCATCCAAATTAGTAGCAGAACAAAGCTGGTCCAACTTCTCATATAGAGCTGCTTTCTTTTGCTCTCTTCTATTCATCTTTCCTTCCTCTTCTTTGCTCTCTCCGTCTCACTTATACATACTCACAGAAACACACAAACAATGGACCATATAACAGGATTTGAAGGCTTTTTTAAAGGAAGACGGAGCTCTCAATCAATCTATGATTTATTTGTTTGTTACCTGCATCAGTAGTACCAGAATGGTCAAAGGATATTGTGATCTGCAGCCATGTAACAAGTGGGATCGAGTTCTGAAGTTCAATATTTCTAGTTTAGTCCACATTATTTGGAATTCTCTACCTTGCTACTTCATATGAAACAACAGACAGCACTTAGGATTCAAACTCTATCGTTAAGTATTATGGATAACAGAATGATTAGCACGAATCTGTTAGCATTGCCGATCCATTTGAAGTATCCCATCTATATTAAAATTAACTGCGTAACAAAACAAGCAGCAGTGAAACCAACGATAGATAAAGCCTTAAAATAAAAGACAAGCAAACCTCCGCAGACCATATAAGAGGGCGGTGAGAGCATGCAAAGGGTTTGGTTAAAATAGCTAGATTCCACCAACTATACAAGTGGAACCTGACCATACATGATTACGTGTCCTCTGATTATATATTCTAAATTGTCCACACCAACAATCTATCCTTTCCCGCCAAAGGGCGATTTTACTAAATAACCAAATATTATGGAAGTCCCTTTACAATGAAACTAGCCCATCAATCGATCCAAGAATTACACTCAAAACTTCATAACAAAAAAGATAAAAGAACAATAGTAAACATGCATGCCAGCTTGATGGCAACTTCTTCCCCATTTTGAATATTGACGCCTATATCAATAGAGTAACAGATTTATTAAAGATAATACGAGCAAAATCACCTCAAAGATAATCCATAAGAAAGAACAGATAAAATGAAAACAGGATCTGTTAAGTAAAAAATCTAACTAAAACTCTACCTAAATGGAGTTCACCAAATGAGCCGCTTCCAATTTTCCTACCAAGCTTAAATTTGCCACCCACAACATGATCCATGATAGATAATTCAACACAATTCGACAACCACCACTCTTCCATGAAGACTTCTGCAAATGTCAAAAATACCCACAGCTCTCACAAGCCAAATTTCCAATTGCAACAGCGATCCAAAGCCCAACAGATAATTACTAACAACTGCCTCCCGAGACATAGCCTAGTGGTGCAAATGACAGGAGTGAGGTTATCTCACGTCTTGCTGGCAGCCGCAGTGTGGGGGTTCGATTTCTGAAACATGGAATTGGACTCCTTGTAGGCGCAGTGTACAAACAACTCTTGTTCCCTGGCCTACTGGGGCACATCCCGCGATTTACTTCCCTCACAAAACTCTAGGGGCGGGACGGTGGGGGCCTTCAAGGTTGGGGTTCAATCTTTTTTTTTTATTATTATTATAATTACTAACAACTACGAAAGCAGAATCAAGAAAATTTACCATATTACCCACATAAAGGATCCAAGAAAAATTGATCAAGAAAATTCTTTGATGCTTAAGCTACATCCTTGAAATAATAATCGCTACAAAGCTCAATTTCGAGTAAATGAAAAATTATGCTCAATATGACCCTCAAAAAATGAAAATTGGAAAGTCATGTTCATCTTTTCACCACATATACAGGTCTTTTGAGTAATTTGAAAATTATCCAATTGAACTTGATAATCCATAAGATTTTAACATAACAAAGATTGGATAAAGTGATTTTAATCCAATTTAAAATTAACTCATTGAACCCATCTCCGACTCCCCTTCGCACCCTACATGAGTTTTTTGAATCAAATTTTTATCACTAATCATAGACATAACTTTTTAATTTGTCATAATGCAGACAATCCATAAAAATATATTGGAGATATTATAAGTTGTTCTTTGAAAATATTAGCAGTAAGAGTAGTTATTATTTTAGTTACTAAAATTATAATGTGACAAAAGTAAGTACTGAATAAATAAATAAAAATAAAAGTTTTAATTTAAAAATAAATTACAAGTTAATTTTTAGATTTGTCAAACGTAGGCTAATTACTTGCCCAACCCTTCAAGAAACTCATATTTTTAGATAGTTAAATTGTCCAAAATCTGACCAAATCAAACCCCCACCGCCACATCAAACACCAGGTAGATAGGGAGAGAGATAAACCAATAGAGGATTTCATAAATCTCGTCGTCATTACTTTTAGGGTTTCTCTTGTGGATTGATCGATTTTTGGAAAAGCTGAATCCCCTCAAAATTTGATACTTGAGTAAAAACCTCAAATGCATGTACCAATATTCTAATTATTTATTCCAATCGCTATTCCATTACATGACTAAACCGTATATCGTGTTTCCATGGATGCGATATTTGGATGTAAATGTCGGTTACTCTTTGTATTGAAATTGGGCGTCAGCAGTGTAATTTGTTGATGGGTTACCTTATGAGACTTTTTTTTTGTAATTTTTTTTTCTCATTATTCGAAAATTTAAAGGTTATTCGCTAATTGTGCCGTTCTTATTGTAGTTCATGGAATTTCTTTATGGTTCGGTTAAAAGTTTTATAAGCTTTCATTGTAGTTATAGGTAAGCATTTGTTTGCGTAATTGAATTGCATTAATAAATTTAATGAGTTTCTGGTTCAATAACATTGCTCTATAATAGAATTTACTCTCTGCTTTTTGGAAATTTTGTTGGCTGGATGTTTGACTTTCTTTACTTTTATAAACCCCATGTGTTGGTAGAGCATGATTCTTCGAAATCTCCCTAAAGTTGCATTTCAATGGCTGTAAGCCTCCTGAATAATGAAAGGCCAAATTCTGTAATTGCAGTTGGCATTTTTGTGAAAGCATATATGATTGAGTTCGATGGAAGAAGAGGAGGAAGATATGGTTTTGCTCAGCACTTTAGGTGTTACGTCTGCAAATCCTGAAGACATTGAACGTGACATTTTAGAAAAGGTCAGCTTGGCCTTGTTACCTTTGTCTTCGCCTAATTTATTGCATGTAATTTGTTAAACCTAACTCAGGGTGAATGAGTTTGATGGATGAGTTCTATTAGCTGCTTATCACTCTTTTGTAGTCATTTTTCACAAGTTGGCTATTTTGTAACCCTGTGATCTTGATCCAGTTTGGCTGGAAATGTGTTTGGACATCAAGAATGTGCATGTTGGGCTTATTAGGCAATCACTATATTTCAGTCACTTTATATGAGAATGTCTGATAGACCTTTCTCACGTGTTTAAATTTATGCATGAAGTTTGCATGCTTGGTGGTCTTGTTTAACAGTTAATTTGATGGTAGCTTGTCTATTGACAGGCAGGAAAAAATGCTGAAGACAAAAGTGAAACTGGAAGGGATGGAGATGAGGAGCTTCACAATCAAACCAAAAGCAACAAAACACTATCTACTGTTCATGAAAATTTGTACAACAAATTGAGAGCTGTTGAAATTGAAATAAATGCTGTTACATCTGCTGTTGAACAATTAGAGAGCTTCAAAAGACATGATGATATTTTCTCTGAAGGTGAAGACGAAAGGAAGCAGGGACCTGCAGATATTGAAAAAGATTATCTTGGGGCATCTCCAAATGATGTGACCCTTCAGCATGCTCTCGCTGCAGATCGATTAAGAAGCTTGATAAAAACAAAGGCTCAACTTGAGAAAGAAATTTTGGATTCTTCCAATGACATTAAGGATAACAAGTTGTTAAGAGATCTTGTCAAGGAAGAGCCTAAAACCACACGAAAGTTGAAGGAGATTCAGAAAACAAGCAAGAAAAAGAACAAGAACAAAAGGTTGAAAACAGTTTCATTCGTTGAAGATGATGATTTTGATGCTGTTCTAAATGTGGCCTCTACAGGGTTTGTGGAAACAGTGAGTGATTTTATTGTGGTTATTACTACTTTGCATAAACATATCTGTGTGAAACTTCTATTGTTATTAGTGTATAGATAAATCAGGAAGTTGGATATCGGGGCTAACGGTACATTATTTATCTTAGGAAAGGGATGAGTTAGTTCGGAAAGGAGTTTTAACTCCGTTTCACAGGCTTCAAGGCTTTGAACGCCGTATAGAGGAACCAGAACCATCCAGCAGGCACAGGGTAGCTGAAGATGTAAACAGTAATAACAATCTTGCTTCATCTAGCGTAGATAGAGCTCTTCGGTCAATATCAGAGGCTGCACAAGCTCGCCCCACAACTAAGTTGCTTGATCCAGAATCAGTCCCAAAACTTGAGGCTCCCACCCATCCTTTTCAAAGGCTAAAAGCTCCCTTGAAAATCTCTCAGTCCCTGGAAACTGAGACAGTGAAGGATAAAGACGGCAAAAGAAAGAAGAAAAGACCATTGCCATCAAAGAAGTGGCGAAGGCTAGCTTCTCGAGAGGAAAACGAAGAAGCTGGTATGTCAATGCTGTTAAGATTTGCAATTTTGTTTCCTGTAGCCTGCTTAAATTCTTGGAAAGACAGAATATAAGGGTTATGTTGAAATTAGTATACTTTGTCACTGCACACCTTTACGAATATGCTACTCTTAGAACATGGAAATGTAAGGATGATGGAAGTTTAAACCCCCCCAAATAATTATTTTGCCAGTACTAAGCTTGTTATTACATGAAGATGCAATCACCTCTAGTTTTGAAGAAGACGATTTGGAAGCTATCGAAGATGTGGAGGATGAAGGACCCTCATTTGTGACACTTGAAGGGGGGCTGAGAATCCCAGAAACAATTTTTAGCAAGCTTTTTGACTATCAGAAGGTTGGAGTACAGTGGTTATGGGAACTACATTGTCAAAGGGCAGGCGGAATAATGGGAGATGAGATGGGTCTTGGTAAAACCATCCAGGTTTTAGCTTTCCTTGGATCATTGCATTTCAGTAGAATGTACAAACCAAGCATTGTTATTTGTCCTGTTACCCTCTTGCGGCAGTGGAAGAGAGAAGCTATGAAATGGTATTCGAGATTTCATGTGGAGATATTACATGACTCTGCTCAGGAAATGACCAGTAAGAAAAAGCGATCAAAATCAAATGAAAGCGATAATGAAAGTGATGAATCGCTTGATAGTGATAGTGAAGGAAAAATATCTTCTAAAAGTCCCAAAAGATGGGACGCTCTGATATATCGTGTTTTGACGTCAGAATCTGGTCTGCTGATCACCACTTATGAACAACTTCGGTTGCTAGGTGATAAATTGCTTGATATTGAATGGGGATATGCCATTTTAGATGAAGGACATAGGATTCGAAATCCAAATGCTGAAATCACTCTTGTTTGCAAACAGTTGCAGACTGTTCATCGTGTAATAATGACGGGTGCACCTATTCAAAACAAACTGTCTGAGTTGTGGTCCTTGTTTGATTTCGTCTTCCCTGGAAAGCTGGGTGTCTTACCTGTTTTTGAGGCCGAATTTGCTGTTCCCATATCTGTTGGTGGTTATGCTAATGCAACTCCTTTGCAAGTTTCTACTGCTTACAGGTGTGAATGTTGATGTTTTAGAAAATCTCATTTGTTTCCTGATTATACAAAATTATGTGGAAGTCAAGTGGGGGGAGGGAATGACAGTATTCTGCCCGGTTCTATCTCTATCAGCTTTTGCTTTATAATGTTCCATTATTAAATTGGTAACGACAAGTTATAGGTACAGAAAAGAATGCACCATAAATAGAAAAGACGAACCTGAAATGGAAACACAGAGAGTTGAAATTGGCTGGAAGAAATGGAAAAAGTTAATGAATATGAAAAGATGCTCGTGATAGCAACCCCAAGGATTTTGCATTTGATATTTTATTCCTACTTGATGCACTTTGAGAAAAATCTTCTACAGTTATTGTCGTAGTGGAAGATTTTATTCTTGAAAGTATGTCATTAAGATTATTTTGTCCTTCACAGTTTTTCCCCTACTAAATCCAGATTTTTGCAGATGTGCTGTGGTTCTACGTGACTTGATCATGCCTTACCTCCTCCGGCGGATGAAGGCTGATGTGAATGCTCATCTTCCAAAGAAGACTGAACATGTCCTCTTTTGCAGTCTCACTCCAGGGCAGCGATCTGTATATCGTGCTTTTCTTGCTAGCTCTGAGGTTGAACAAATTTTTGATGGAAACAGGAACTCTCTTTATGGAATTGATGTGATGCGTAAGATTTGCAACCATCCTGATCTACTTGAGAGAGAACATTCTCAAGGGAATCCAGACTACGGAAATCCTGAACGTAGTGGAAAAGTGAAGGTGGTTGCTCAAGTGCTTAAGGTGTGGAAGGAGCAGGGACATCGTGTTCTTCTTTTTTCACAAACTCAACAGATGCTTGATATTCTTGAGAATTTTTTGGTTGCTGATGGATATAATTACAGGAGAATGGATGGTCTCACTCCTGTAAAACAGAGAATGGCTCTGATAGATGAATTTAACAATTCTGCGGATGTGTTCGTTTTTATTTTGACGACGAAGGTTGGTGGTTTGGGAACAAACTTGACTGGTGCCAACAGGGTGATCATTTTTGACCCTGACTGGAACCCCTCGACTGATATGCAGGTCTGTTTTATTCGATTGTGAATTTTGTTAACAAATTTCTCCAGATGAATTTCGATAGCTTATCATGAGTTTAGAACTTTGAGACTTCAATAACATCATCCAATTTTTGTAAATTTTACAAAAACTGTATCTGTTCCTTCTCTTACCTTCTTCTTTGGGTTCGGGATGGGATGGGATGGGAATTATCTTTTGCGACTGTTGAGGGTGTATTCAAATGCTTTTATCCGGTGATATGCTTATTATGATGCTACATTGCTTATAATAGCAGTTGTAAGACAGGCCCGGGAACGTGCTTGGCGTATTGGTCAAAGAAAGGACGTTACAGTTTATAGATTGATTACTCGTGGAACAATTGAAGAGAAGGTGTATCACAGGCAGATCTACAAACATTTCCTTACCAATAAAATATTGAAGAATCCACGTCAGAGAAGATTTTTCAAAGCTCGTGATATGAAGGATCTTTTCACGTTAAATGAGGATGAAAATGGTCTCTCTACAGAAACATCTAGTATTTTTGGTCAGTTGTTGGAAGAAGTAGCTGTTGTAGGGGCCCAAAAAAATAAACAGGGTAAGCCAGATTCTGAGAAAGCTTCCAAATCAAATCCTAATGGTTCCACAACTGACTTGGGGCATAATTCAGAGGCTAATGGTGAAGAAACAGCCGGTCCTGGTGATGTAGATGAAGATACAAGCTTTCTGCGGAGTCTTTTTGATGCTCATGGGATTCACGTACTTTTCTAATTGCTTTGTCATTTATTTTCTTTAAATATAAAAGTTATTGCATGTTTCTTCTGTTGTATCCCGTTTTACTTGGCTTACTTGGTAGCGTAATGGACGTAAAACGATATTTTTAGCTAGCTGGTACAGATAACTACACTATATATGTTCTCAGGTTTTTCACATTTGTTTAATGACTTCTGTATGTTATGAAAACTACACGGAGTTGAGGCCACATAAAATTTATCTAATGTAGGATCAATTGTATTACTGATCACTAGACCTAAAAATGAGCGTGTGCTTTAGATAAATTGTTTTTCCATTTTTTCTTGGAAAGAGATGACTCTTCTTTCTCACTTTCGTGGTTTATCCCATCCATTTCCTCTCCTTTCTATATATGTACACACACACACACACACACACACACACACACACACAAACACCAAGATTATCCTTGCAGAATCTAGAAGTCAGTACAAACCATTTGCTGGTGATATGCATACTTTTGCTTATTACTCGTCTTTCTGTTCCCCGCCACCCCAGGATGCATATGTAACCTCTCTGTTATGGTCGTGTTTTGCTTATCCAGAGTGCTGTGAACCATGACGCCATCTTGAATGCTCATGATGAAGACAAGACAAAGCTTGAGGAAGAAGCTTCCCAAGTTGCACAGAGAGCTGCTGAAGCACTGCGCCAGTCACGAATACTTAGAAACCAAGAAAGTATAACAGTTCCAACCTGGACCGGAAAATCAGGTGCTGCTGGTGGACCACCATCTGTCAGAAGGAAATTTGGGTCAACTGTTAATTCCCAATTAGTAACCAATTCAAGGCCATTGGAAGACGTACCAAATAATGAAGCCAGCAGGCCATATCAGATTACTGCTGGGACATCGTCAGGTAAAGCATTGTCCTCAACTGAGTTGCTGGCTAAGATTAGACAAAACCAAGAAACAGCAGTTGGTGATGGGCTTGAGCATCAGTTTGGCATGGCTTCAACTTCTGGTGGCCGTGAAAGATCTGCAAGTAATGGGCCTTCTAGATCATCGAACACCTTCGGATCGCAGCCAGAAGTTTTGATTCGTCAAATTTGTACATTTATCCAACGGAAAGGTGGAAGCACAGATTCAGTCAGCATTGTCGAGCATTTCAAAGACAGGATACCATCAAAAGATCTACCACTATTTAAGAATCTTCTAAAGGAGATAGCTATTTTAAAGAAAAACCCTAATGGGTCCTTTTGGGTTCTGAAGGCGGAGTACCAGGAGCAGTAAACATTCAAGTATGAATTATTTTTTCCCCTTCTCTAATTGCAGAACATAAGGTGCTGTCATCATTGTTATTCACAACTATTGCTTAACCAGAGGATCTGCTATACAGTGCTGTACAGGGTAAATTTTGCATGTCGTGGGTACGGTATCGATTCGTGTTTGTTTTTTTGAAAAGATTTAGAATAGTTGAAAACCTTTTCTTAAGGTGTGCTACATACAGGTTTGATATCTATGAGAAGCCCCTTGCAATTTTGCAATTAATCGAGTCGTAATTCCATCAGTGTATTGGAGAAATTGCTAATGTTAAGCAATCGCCTCTGAAGTGCAAATGGTATTGCCTTCTCTTGCAAATTGTGGTACCATGACTTTTGTTTGAAGGCAAGGTCAAGAATGGTCGTTTATAACTCTCTATTTTACCCTTTTTGACATAGAAGCTTTGGGTCGGCTTAACCCTCAACTCAACGATCTGTGTATGGGTATGTATTTTCCTGTTGTGTTTATTTGTCTTCATATGCATACAAAAATTCATAGATATAACTTTATGAATTTATTTTTAAATTCTTCCTTTCAAGTCTGTCGAATCTAATGTCATATATGATGAATATTTTGTGTAGAACTTTGAAAATTGAGGAAGGAAATCCTAGGGGCTATATGCTATTATTTATACGGAGATATTGGTCATTAATGATGGGAAGGGATTAATATTATTCATATACAGAGCAAATTGTGAAGGGTGAAATATTTGTCTGTTCTTGGAATTACAGGCGATTGCTCGAAAATGGTAGTTAACTTTTAAATTTTTAGTGTAAATTGTACATGGGGTTTCAAACTTCTGAAGGTCGTGACTATGGGATCTCGAATTTTTTATTTTAAACTTGGAGTTCTAAGCCTTTCAAACATTCGCACCAGAGGTCATTTTTTTCGGAAATCAGACAGTTGAGATATCAATTTTTCAGTAAAATGATGATTTTATCCCTAGTTTGATTTAAAATATGATCCATTTCTTTCCTGATTAACTATGGAGATTAAAAATGAATGGATGTTGCCAAGGTTATTATTGCTGACAAGGTGGTGGTGGTTAGGTAACGATGTGAATGGCCAAGTTTTTGGTAGGGTCTAGTAAGGTAGTGTAGGTATTGATGAAGTCTAATTGTTTTCCCAATTTTATTACAAGTACAAAAAAAATTTGACAAAATTCTTACAGAAAGACACTTGTAGTGTTTCATTGATTTTTTACACCACCAACATAGATAATGAACCATTCAGATGTTGCTAATGCAACACCTGCATCATTTTTATCAATAATTCTCTGTATCTATGGAATTATTCTTGTTTTCCCTTTTCCTTTTTTTTATTTACATATTTTTGTTACTTTTCCTATTTTGTTATTTGTAGTTCTGTGTTTTAATTTATTTCAAACTAATGGTAAAATGGACATTTTCAAACTACAGTTTTCATAATAAAATGACCTTCAACGGAGACATTTAAAATGTTCGGGACTCCAAACGCTAGTAATGAAAGATTCAGGACAACTAATGTTTATTGTCTTATCAAAGGTTTATTGTCAACATAAAAAGGTTAGTCAAATTTTATTGAGTTTGACTCATAGCGATTATTTATTAAAAAATGACTCATATTATCAAATGACTGAACAAATGAAAACAATTTACTTACGATACTTAGTTGACATTCGTAAAAAGTATCTATTAAATTAGCCAATTTAATATCGTCAAGTAGTTTTTGAGGACGGAATCAATGTTAGTGATGTAACCATTTGCAAGATTTCTAATATAAGTTCATGGACAAAGCCGGTCTCTATCTCAAAATATGGCAGAAAACCATGTCAAACGCGCATATTAACAATTTCTGAGAATCATTATTTTCCAAAAATGGAGCAAACGATGAATTTCTTTGACATAACATTTATTTTCATTCTCTCATCTTTCTTCATACAACAACCAACAAAAGTACCATTCACATTATCAAAATGCTGCCCAGCCGGCTGCAGAGGTTTTAGCAGACCCTGATCCAGCACTGGCAGGAAGGTTCCTCTGCAGATGCCAACACGAAAGACACTTAATATTTTGTTCGCTTAAAAGTTCAATGATATCTTGCATTTTCTAACTAATAGTGCACAGTAAAACAAGAAAAGATGCCGATGGAGAAAAATTTCAACTCCTAATTATGCAGAGAAGAGAATCATTTCATACAACATAAAACTAGTTCAGACAGACAGACACGAGATGCCGATAGCCACTTGAAGAACTAGCACTTATTTGATATTGGCAAGATGCAAGAACCATTTCTGGAAACTCTCTTAACTAAGTGCATGCTTGTTGTACAATATTAAATCATCACGACAGTATGATAAACAAACTTTTATCTTCTCTTTCTTGTTTAATAATGTCCAATATTGTCCAATCTAACTTGGTTAGTAGGGTGTTGTTCTATATGGTTCCATTCTTATGTCTACTTTGTTTTTCTAAATAATTCATGCTCAGGAGTATTCTTGTAATTTCTCTTCTTTGAGCCAGCTAGATGGGGATCTATGTTTTTTACTTATCTTAAGGTGTTGTTTGGGGTGCTGAATAACGTTGCTTTAAGCCTCACTTTCAAATAAGTACTTAACTTGCTTATTTTCAACTTGGACCAACAATAAATTATGTATTCTAATACTTATTCACCTCCAGGTTTACACTCGGTAAAAACTGCACGGAGTGCTTAAAGGCGACTCAGAACTTGGGAGGTCTACTTGGAACACCAAGACTACTTGGTCCCAAATTCTGTCACTCATTAGATGGAGGTGTTTAAGCCTTCATTTGGCTAATTTACAAATGACTTATATTTATAGATGGTCAAACTTCTTTTTCAACCACACATTTCAATAGACCTACAAGTAGTATCCACTTATCCACCACTCATTTCTATCTATTTATAAATCATTTATAAATCCTTCCCAAACGGAGGCTAAGTTTGTTTTGGACATGTAACGAAGAAGTATTTCAGTTCTTTTTTAAGGCGTTCTTTTTTAAGGCACAAGGGAGATGCAATAAAGTCCAATTTGGAGCATAACGTGGGGTAGCATCCAGAGAACTATCTCCACCTTCCATCTTCATTTGAAAATCCTGGTTAGTACACTTCCAACTTTACCTTTACACAAACTAGGTCCCACCTTTCTTTCAACCCCAACATATTCATCTCTCCATTTGCTATTTCGTTTCACATCACTTGGAGACCATCCCAGCTCCCTAACCTAGAGATTGCTGCCACTGCCCTTGGCCCACTGCAATTGCACCAGTAAATTCCAAACAATAAGAACCGAAACTTCAATATCACTTCCTCAACCAAAAGAAAACATCATCTCGATCGCAGGAAAATAAACACTCCTAATAGCTAAAAAAGCCACTACAATCACCAATCCTCAGCTCCAAAAGTACATCTTCATCACCATTAACATTGTTACCATCTATGCAAAATCTAAAAGATAACTAATAGCAATATGAAAAAATCCTACGAATTGCAGAAAGAATTAAGATAAAGAGAGATAAAAGCATCCAATCCAAGAAGTGCTTTGAGAGTTAGATGGTAGAATTGGTGAAATAGTTTATTCCTAGTTGCGCAACTCTATTAACAGTGACTTTAATTGAGGAGGAAGAGTAGGTGAAGATCGAAGGAGGGAATTATGTCAGTGATGGTCCCGGAGAAAAGCAGCAGTGTTCTTTGGTGTATCAGTTGGCAGTATGCTGAAAAGGGTCAGAAATAGAGAAAAAGAGAGAAGATACAAAAGTCAAAGGGAGAAAATGGTTTGTTTTTTATGATGATTCTAGGGTAAGTGAGCAGTAATTTGGGAAGTTAAAGTGGAAGAGTTTATTTATTTCAGGGAACATGGGAGTGTATTTTAAGAAAGATCCAGCCAGCTTTCAAAAGATAATCTCATAAAAACCATGATAGAGTATTTTGAGGCTTACACCACACACGAGGTTCTAATTATGTCTAGAAACTTACAACTTGAGTGCCATATTAAAGGCTCACGCCTCAACTCACATTTACTAACTATTTATTGTTGTCCTTAACTTTTTGTGCTCTTTTTTATAGCCTAGTACATAAAGTTCATGAATCTTCTTAACCACCAGTCTAAATACTCGGATTTTTTTCAACTTTTTCCAGCATCTAAGGAGAAAGAACTATTGCAAGTGGAGGACGCTGATAAAGAATAAGAGAAACTGATAGTGATGAGGAAGATAATAGGGTAATAAAATATATATTCCAGTAGTAGTAATGATACTGAAGACTTCTAGGTTGTTCTTCCTGATAATATTATTTTCTAATTTTGTTATGCGAACCTAATCTGAGAAATTATTGACAATCCGAATTAGACTTCTACTTTTCTTCATTACCCTATATATAAATACACTTAATTCTCCCCCATTGAGAGATCTTCCTCATAAAATGAGAATATTTTATCAATATAATTAACTGCCATTTGTACACATGTATAGAACTGAAAATGACACCAACATATAATGGCATGATATCAAAAAATCTGTAATGACCACCCTCAGCAAAGCCCTCTCGCTCTCTTGGAAGCTCCCTGTGATGTTATTCATCTATTAAGAGTAGATTTTTGAGATTACCAGCACCATTTATAACTGTATTAAGAAATGACATTAAGAAAAACACATAATTGCAATAGATTGGTGATTCCTGCATCAAAGTCGTGTTAAATTATGGCAGAATAATGAAATTCCATCAATTTGGTAAAGAAAAATTTTGCATGACAAATAAAATATAATTCCAAAATATTTCATCAATATTTAGTCACTAAAAAGTTGTCCGTCCATCTTAACATAGTAAAACCAGAAGTGATACAAGTTCCGGTACCAAGGAATACATGACTGTGCCAGTGGCAAAGAAAACACATTGAGATTTGGGACTTTGTTTTCAGATATAATAATTACCAAAATGCACCATCAGATCTAATAATTGATATAATTTATCACCAACTGGAACGAGGTATGGAATGGAGAAAATATAACAGCATCACCCATCCATCTCAATTTTCAAAAACTATTTCAGAAAAAAAAATTCAGCCATCGTATAAGATGTGTAGAAGCATAAAACAAGAAGTTTGGAACATTAAGATCAGATTTTTGCCACTTATATTATATTTGCCAATTCCAAATCATGAAAATCGATGAAGCAGCTTAGAGAACAGAAAATGAAGACATACCTCGAGTTGAGAGAGATCAGATAAAGGATCATTTGACTGCTTCACATTTTCCTTGGATCCCTTCACAGCAGTGTCATGGCCAGGAGAACTAATCCTACCTGCAGCAGGATCGTTGGGTGGGGGCGGAAGAGGAGACCTAATCTTCCCTCCTCCACTAGGTGGTGGTGCAAGGCCAAGGGTTTTAGATTTCCCAGTTCCAGAAAGCCCACTCGATAACCCTGCAGCTGAAAGCATGCCCGTTCCGCCAGATACTTTATTCTTTACATTTATCCGAATAGTTTCCCCTTCCTACAGATCAAACAACCAAAAACTTACATGCCATATATGAACTGTAGGTCACGCATTTATTGAAGCTGTTATCCATTTTCCCTCTAAAACCAAGAAAACTAAATTGGAAACTATTTGTCAGTTCTACAATCATCTCAAGTATCAAAATAGTCACATCAAACTCAAAGAATTATCAGCCATTAAGCAGCTTCAATAATTACTTCAAAATTTAATATTTCTAACTTAATCTCTAAGCATAATTAAGCCTTTCACAAAACTCCAGAAGTTAAAGAAAAGTTAAGAAATTACCTTCAACCTATGATTAACAGCAGGATGAATATCAATATGATTCTCCTCATTACCCCCCTCACCACCACCATTGACACCAACATCCTTGTCGCCCTCCCTCTTCACATACTTCTCGTGATCCGAAAGAGCGACATTGAAATCGAACGCTTCATTTCTCTCGTTAAACCCTAACCCTATGAAGGCGTGCTTCCCTTGCCCATCCTCGATCTTCAACACGAAGTATCTCGAAGAGTCCAATACCGATTCAACAGAGCTCTCTCTTTGACCCGGATTCACGAAACACGCGGCAAACAACTCGCCGGAATTCGGATCCTCGAGGCGGATCTCACAGCGGGTCTTGCAAGACACCACACGGAGCCGACCCGTCCAGATCTTGTCGGACTGTAACCACTCGCCGCATTTGTACCCGCCACTCGTGGATCGGGGCGGGATTTTGAAAACGGATACTTCCCGGACTACCAACAGGGTATGCTCGAAAGTCTCCTCGTCCTCCTCATATGACATCGTTTAGACCTTTGGAATGTGAAATTTTTTGCTTTTTCTGGTATTCAATTGAATTTAACTCAAGTCAGTTGAAGAAATCTGAGATTTCAAGAATTTTTGCAAGAAAGTTGTAGATAAAAGAGAAGTAGACGTGGATTCTAAGCTTGAATTGGCAAATGTAATCATGTAATTTGATGGATTTTGGAGTAACGGAGTGAATCTACAGTAAATCCGTTTTCAGTGGATTAACATGTCGCTAGACAAACATTCCACGACACCTTTTACCTTTCCCATAGGAGAAAATTTGAACCATTTGTCCCTAATTTATTGAATTTGTTATGACTTGATTTTTATGGACTATTAGTGCAAAACGTCCCTACGTAAAAAGTTTATTTTGCAAAACATCTTAATGTTACCCTTTTTTTACCACCTTTATTTTAACATTTTATTACGAAAAATCATCATTTTTATTCATTTTTATCAAATTTCTCAATAAAAAATCATGAAATATTTAAATTAAAAAAAAAAAAAGACTAGTTGCAATCATACTCCAAAATTTTTTTAAAAAGAACAAACCAAATCCCAAAATATATTATTAAAAATTAAGAAAACAAAATGAAAAATTCTCTTTTTCTTCATCCTCTGCCAGAGATAATTTAATGAATAGTTATTGAACTTCACTGTAGATTATTACTTGTTCATTGATTTTTAAAAAGTTACTCGTTATATGCTATTACTTACTCATTAAAATTAAAAATGTTACTCATTACTCATCTAAATTTAAACAAAGTTACTCATTGCTTACTAAATTTTGCAATAGATAACACTCGTAAAAATGTTATGGATGATTTATGTGTAATTTTGTTCAAATTTGAGTGAGCAATAAGTAACTTTTTAAATTTCGAAGAGTAAGTAGTAACTTATAGCAAAGTTTATCAAGCAAAGAGTAACTTTTTAAATTTCGATGAACAAATAGTACCTTATAGCAAGGTTCAATGGCCATTCATTATATTAACCTCCTCCAGCACTAAAACCACCACCACGATTTTAACATTTTATTACGAAAAATCATCATTTTTATTCATTTTTATCAAATTTCTCAATAAAAAATCATGAAATATTTAAATTTAAAAAAAAAAAGACTAGTTGCAATCATACTCCAAATTTTTTTTAAAAAGAACAAACCAAGTCCCAAAATATATTATTAAAAATTAAGAAAACAAAATGAAAAATTCTCTTTTTCTTCATCCTCTGCCAGAGATAATTTAATGAATAGTTATTGAACTTCACTGTAGATTATTACTTGTTCATTGATTTTTAAAAAGTTACTCGTTATATGCTATTACTTACTCATTAAAATTAAAAATGTTACTCATTACTCATCTAAATTTAAACAAAGTTACTCATTGCTTACTAAATTTTGCAATAGATAACACTCGTAAAAATGTTATGGATGATTTATGTGTAATTTTGTTCAAATTTGAGTGAGCAATAAGTAACTTTTTAAATTTCGAAGAGTAAGTAGTAACTTATAGCAAAGTTTATCAAGCAAAGAGTAACTTTTTAAATTTCGATGAACAAATAGTACCTTATAGCAAGGTTCAATGGCCATTCATTATATTAACTTCCTCCAGCACTAAAACCACCACCACATACAGTAAACAATCACCTACAATCAACAAAAAAATCGATAACGATTTCTTATAAAATCCTCGAATCTCCTATAAACAAGTCGGTATAATAAATAAAACTATTTTCAATTTTCATAAGAAAGACATTAATAGCAATGTGTTAGAGTTGTGTCTCAAATAGGAATCTTGAATCATGTGTTGTTGGTGTTGGGAATGAGTCTAACTGTATTCAACAACAAGGAAAACAAAATCTGTTGAAATTGGGTCTCTTAATTGTAATATATTTTATTGCCTTTTAGGACTCTTCTATGGTTTGAAACGTGGCATATAAATACAAGGCTCATCTGTCAATTTTGTTTAAGCATTATTGTCGTATCTGTAATATCCCTCCATATTGTCAGTTTATAATACATCGTTCCTCTGCGATAAATTCTCTTTGTTTATTTCTTTACTTTTAATCTTATTTCTTGTTGTGATCTTCATTACTTCATATCGTCATTAAATCTCATTCTTTACAACCCTTTGGGATCAATAAGTACTATCAGAGCTTCCGCGCCCAACAAGTGGTATCAGAGTTTGATTCTTCTTTTGTGGATTGGTTGAAGTTTATTCAGAGATGACTACCACGAGGTATGACATTCCGCTGTTAATATATTTTATTGCCTTTTAGGACTCTTCTATGGTTTGAAACGTGGCATATAAATACAAGGCTCATCTGTCAATTTTGTTTAAGCATTATTGTCGTATCTGTAATATCCCTCCATATTGTCAGTTTATAATACATCGTTCCTCTGCGATAAATTCTCTTTGTTTATTTCTTTACTTTTAATCTTATTTCTTGTTGTGATCTTCATTACTTCATATCGTCATTAAATCTCATTCTTTACAACCCTTTGGGATCAATAAGTACTATCAGAGCTTCCGCGCCCCACAAGTGGTATCAGAGTTTGATTCTTCTTTTGTGGATTGGTTGAAGTTTATTCAGAGATGACTACCACGAGGTATGACATTCCGCTGTTGGATCGCAATACAAGGTTTCTTTGTAGCAAGTAAAGATGTGGGTTATTCTGATGTAATTGGATTTGGACGATGTGCTATTAGGTTTTGAGAAGATTCCAGTTGATTGGACAACGAAGGATCGAAAGGCTTTATCGCAAAACCATCTTATTTGTCCAATAATATGCTGCAGGATGTCTTGAAGGAGAAAACAGGGCTGCCTTGTGGTTGAAACTGGAGAGTTATGCATGACTAAAAGTCTCAAGAGCAAACTGGCTCTAAAGCAGAAGCTATATTCTCATTGCATGGCGGAAGGAGGGTCACTGGGGGACCATATTGCAGTGTTCAAGAAAATAGTTGCAGGTATGGAGACGTTGGAGGTTAGATACGATGAAAAGGATCTAGCCTTGATTTTGTTGTGTTCGCTGCCTGACTCTCATGCGTCGTTTTGGGACACCATTCTGTAAAGTTGGGATACTTTGACTATAGACGACGTCTATGATACTTTTCACTCAAAGGAGAAGTTGAAGCATTTGGTTGGAGCTACAGCAATTTGTTTTGCTTCTACTGCAGACGTAAGGGACATATTCGGAAGGATTGCTATAAATTGCAGGCTAAAGGTGATTTAGCTGCAAATCGGGGAGCACAACCTTTGACTTCAGACGAAACAAATGTAGTTGATGATTTTTCAGATGGCGGAGATGTGATGTTGACCGTGATATCTAACGAAAATAGTTGCAGGTATGGAGACGTTGGAGGTTAGATACGATGAAAAGGATCTAGCCTTGATTTTGTTGTGTTCGCTGCCTGACTCTCATGCGTCGTTTTGGGACACCATTCTGTAAAGTTGGGATACTTTGACTATAGACGACGTCTATGATACTTTTCACTCAAAGGAGAAGTTGAAGCATTTGGTTGGAGCTACAGCAATTTGTTTTGCTTCTACTGCAGACGTAAGGGACATATTCGGAATTGCAGGCTAAAGGTGATTTAGCTGCAAATCGGGGAGCACAACCTTTGACTTCAGACGAAACAAATGTAGTTGATGGTTTTTCAGATGGCGGAGATGTGATGTTGACCGTGATATCTAACATAGAATCTAGACCCGACGAGGAGTGGATTCTTGATTCGGGATGGTCGCATCATGTGTTCCAATCAAAATTTCTTTCAAACATATGAGGCTGTTCTGCAAAGTAGAGTTGTAATAAGAAACAACCAATCTTGTCGTATTGTTGGGATCGGTCAAGTCAGATTTAGGCTGTGGAATGGGATGGTCAGGACAATTGATCGAGATCGACATGTTCCAGACCTGAAAAAGAATCTCATCTTGCTTAGTACTCTGGATGCAAAAGGGTATAAATTCTCCAGTGGGGGTAGATTTTTGAAGGTCCGAAAGGGTATCCATGTTGTACTAGAGAGACGGAGAATGTCTCAATTGTACATCTTGTAGGGGAGCGTAAAACCAGTTAAGAGACATATGGACAAGTTCAGTACCGTGGTGGATATTCAGTTTGGTACAGTACCTTTTGTGACGGGCTATGGGTCGGTTTAGAACATTGCTCGAGGGAGCGTTGATGATTTCGCTTTGCCACCAATTTCAATGGTTGCACTGTGTTTAGTTGTTAGGATTGGATCCATTGAGCGTAGGTACTATGGTGTCAGTGATGTTTGTAATGCTTTTGAGGACGTTAAAGGTGACAGTTCTAGTAAGGGGTCTTCTGTTAAGGCATTTTGTATGGTTTCTGATACGGAGTGTGCTTCAACCTTGTTTGGTAAACATTAATTCCCTGGTGAAATTTTGGGAACTCGAAAGTAGGGTTCAGGTGTCGATTGTGGACGCCGTGTAGAGGATGATGGTTTATATGGAGAGTTTTGTTTACTGCGTTGAGGAGATTTGCCATTTTGTTTCGATGTAAAAGGGTTTATTTCTCAGGTGGAGAAATTTTGTGGAGCTCCGCTTGTTGTACCGAAATTTGAGTTAAGGTGAAGATTGTTAGAGGTATAACTCAAATAGGAGTCTTGAATCTTGTATTGTTAACGTTGGAAAGGAGTCTAACCACATTCAACAACAAGGAAATAAAATCCCGTTGAAAATGGATCTCATAATTGTAATATATTTTCTTACCTTACTTTTCTAGGGTTTGAAACGTGACCTATAAATACAAGGCTCCTCTATCAGTTTTATTTAAGTATTATTGTTGTATCTGTAATTTCTCTTCATATTGTCAGTTTATAATATATCGTTCATCTGCGATAAATTCTCTTTGTTTATTTCTATACTTTGAATCTTGTTTCTTGCTGTGATCTTCATTACTTCACATAGTCATTAAATTTCATTCTTTACAACAATTTGGGATCAACACAATGGGGGTCTACCACAGAGGTTTTTAATGATTCTGCATCTATTGGAGGGATTGCTGTGGCGTGGGTCCTAGCAAAAAGTAGAAAATTGGCATCTTGAAGGTCAGTCCACTTTGGGTCTGATTTTGACTACAAAATTGGATCGAGGAATGAAATGGTTCAATTGATTGCACGTCCAGGATCATACGATGGTGTTGAACATTGGATGGAAAAACAGCACGGGACCATCAATTGATATAGGTGCAATTGTCTTGTAAAGTGTCTAAACTGGGCATTTCTTCATAGAACTTGCATTAGTT